TATACTTATCATTTGTGCTTATAATTTTTGAATCTATTTACGTCAACTTAATTAAAAATAGTTAATGACTATCGCTGTTATGTAATACTCAAAAACATAATTAATTTTTTTATTTAACAAGTTTAAAGGAATTTAATCTTAGAACATGAGGTTATATTACACATCGCTACTTTTTATAATATTTTTTTCTCATGGTAAATATTCACCACAAACCTTATACCTACTATAAAAGTATAATAATAAAATATTGGATGTATATCTATGTATGTTATACTATAAGCTATTGGTTCAAGGTCGTTCTTTCAAGAAAAAAACCATAACACGCGAATTCATATAAGTACCCTAACGTCATACACCCACAATGAAACCTATTGTTACTGGATGCTTCAAAAATGATAAGTTTAAAAGTATCTTTCAAATTTTGTAACAAGTAAAACGAATTGAGGGAAAAATATTCCCTGCACATAACATTTTTGAAAGAAAGTGATTGAATAAATATTTTTTAAATGTTGATTTAATACAATGTTATTTTTTTAATTAAAAATATTTACTCAAGAGTTACGATTAATTAATATTTAAAATTAAATATTACGTAAGTTAAAAAATTAAAAACCAAGTTAGATCTATTATTAAAGAATTATTATTTAATGAAAACTAAAAAACCAAGCTATATATTTTAATTTTGAAAACAAACACTGAATACAATTAATTTTCATTAATTATACATTTTATATTGTTACCTTCTAACATTAACAATATTAATAATATTTTATTTTGTATTACGATGTGTATTATTATTTTGTAAAAGAAAGTGTAATACAATTTTGTTACTCATTAAAAAAAGCCACTTTTTATTGTAGTTATTAAATTACTAAAACGAGTGTAATAAATTGAAATTATTTGTTAATTAAATTTAATTTATCATCATATTTGATATGAAAAAAGACATTGTATATTATTCATGAAATATTTTATCGTAAATAGCTATGTACTAACGGCTACATCTATTTTCAGATCAATGCAAATAATAGAATAACTCTGAACTCTCTTTAATATTTGGTTTTCCATAAAGATATACTTACCTTAAACGAGTTATCAATAAGAAAGATTTTTAAAAAAATGCTTGGGGGGGAATGGAGTATTGAAGTTTTTAAAATATCCAACTAGATTTAGAAATATTTAATTTTGAATGAATAATATAATTATTAATGAATGATATCATTATAAGATTTACCTTATATTTTACGGATTATATTATCTAATACTCAAATAGTTTTATACTTACTTTTTTGAATGTCGATGGTTGCTGGTCGTCGTATTAAAGTTTTAAAAATCATTGTTGTATAGGATAACGAATCTAATGTATTTACCCGAATGGCATCTGTATTGCACTGAGTTATACGATTATGCTATTCATGGATAATATTTTAATTTTAGAAAATCCGCTTATAGGAGAAAATTTAAGGACAATGCAGAGCATTAAAATATTTAATAATTATGTTGCAAATTAACTGTGTATATTATATGATAATATTATCTTCCTTCAATATTCCCCTCGAACTTAAAAGTATTTAACGATTATCATTAACTGAATTGTTGAACCAATAATCATATTATAATCTTATTCAGTGGCGGCGCGAAATTGTGGAGGATTTAAAGCATATTGTATATTTTAAATATTTTTACCACCACCCCTAATAAGTAGCTGTGGCCAAAGAGCTTTCAGACATGAAGCAATTGTTTCAAATAATCCTATATCCCGCCGCCACTGATCTTATTTTTTATTGAGATGGATTAAAATACGCTGTCCACTGTCTGTACTGAAAATAAGTAAACAGTTATATTTCATTGACACTCAAATAACAATAATAATAATTAGTGTACTGGTATAATTATTATAACATAACAAAACCACCAAATACTGTTTTATCAATATTATTATAACGAAGATATTATTGATTAGATTTTATTATATTATACAAACATGTTAATAAATTAAAAAAACAAATTTTAAGACTCAGAAACTACTTCGTTATCAGAATCCTTCAAAATTACATTATATATGAACATATATTTTTCTATTTTCTAGGATAAACTTAAAATTGACACAATAACTAACTATAAATGTATAGATTATTTTAATATACAGTGAAAACTGTGTAATGTGGACCCTGAATAAAACGGAAAACTATTCAATACGGAATTTTTCTATGGTCCCGGCATGTTCCTATAGTTTTATATAGATGTTGAACCTCAATAAAACGGAACCTTCCTTACGTGGAAACGAAACGGTTTTGTAGGTCCAATACAAGTAAAAACCTTGCATAAGTCGGAAATATGACTCGCGTAATGTTAGGTTTATATGAATATGTAGGTATATCGTAAAACGATAACCAAGATAAAACTGCACTACATATTAGATAGGTAATTTATATTTTTTGGTTATCACATCTGTGATACTAATTCATCCCGTATATATATAATATATAGCTGTGAAACAGTTATGCACCAACAGTTTTTACTGAACAATTTTCAAGTACATACAAGTGATGTCCATTCAAATACATATAATATTGGAAAAATAGCAACAAAAGTGACAAAATAAAAACTTTACATGATTTTTGGAAAAGCTAAATGTTTAAATTTAATTCCCAACCTTCATACTTATGTAATACGAATAAATTATTAATAATTTTGCAAGCAAATAACTCTATAATTATTCTAAAATAAGTTTTATAAAGTAAAGTAATAAATTAAGTTTATAATTAGTCTTTAACTCAAAAAATAAAAATTATAAATGTTGTAAACTAATTTTTTAATGTGAAAAGCTGATACGAATTTATAATTTAGATTTTTCCGTTTTATTCAATACAGTGAAAAACTGCTTATAGCAGAAGTTTTGATTGATCCCGTGTTATTCCGCTTTAGACAGTTGTCACTGTACTAATATATATTCTAAACTGTGCTCGAATTTGGAAGGGGAGGTATTTGAGCGGAGTTCTTTAATTATATTTTTGTATTATATTTGAGAGCACTCCTACTAACTACTTGTCCGAAGAAAATATTTTTTTAATATAAATAGTTAGGTATTATTTTTTTTATTATAAGTGTTAATTAATTAATATTTTTAATGTAAATAAATGGATATTGTTCAAAAATATTTATTTTAATTACTTATTAGAATTTGTTTCTGGTACTAATTATTTGTTCGATAATTTATGATTGCGGTGTTTGAGGTAGGTGGGCTTATCCCCTAAAAGCTTATTTGAGTTAAATATTTTTTAGGGACACTAATTTTTTTTTAAATCTTAATGGTCTTCTTTTATTTTCCCAATTCGAGCACTGGTTCTAAATATACGCTTATATATAAATTATACCACAGGTTAGTATTTATCAATTACACAAATATAATAATACATAATAAATTAAGGACTTGTTATTTTATATACAATGAAATAAATCGATCATTGATCAATGATTTATCAGGAAAAATAATTCAATTTAAAACTACCTAGTTTTACATAAATTAACATCATAAATAGAGTCAACATAACTACTTATAAAATTAAATGTAATGTTTCATGGGATAAAATGTATTCTGTATAATCACGAGTATACTTATACGTACAATAAACCGCAGTAATAAAATATTAAAATCAAATTAATTCAGTTAAGTAAACATGTAATTAGTTATCGATAGGTAAATCCAATCAATTCAAAACAGTTTTGTATATTTGTATTGATATTCATATAGTTTATATTACGACAAACATTTATATTTATTATGGTATATAGCTATATTATATAATACAAAAATGTATAGGAAATATATGTCATAAATAATGTACCTACTCACGTAATTAATATCGATAATAATAAACCATTAAACAGGATATGAGATTTATGATTTTTTGCACCAGGTACATACAGGAGATAGAGGATGCTTAGGAATAAAACTATACTCTAATGATGACCATTTGAAAAAGAGAAAATAACTATCTCAATCCACACAGTTAATATCGTTCGACAATATAGTGTTCAATGTGGCTTTCGTAATATCACCGTCGTCATAAAAAAACGCCAGCTGTGAGCAATGTATGGTACAGCGACAAAATGTTGGATTGCGTTATTTTTTTCAATAAGAATCTTGTGTTTTCCATAACGGGTTTAAGCGGTTGCCTGTCACGAGATAGGTATAGTAGATTTTATGTTGTTTGAAAGTATGATTGACATTTTTGATATGTGATTTTGTAGAATTTTCTAAAATGCGCCTGTTATCTGTAGGTTAGGTTAGGTCTACGAGAGGCCGTAGTACAATCATTAATATCAGAGGCCTTTTATGAAGAAAAAATAAATTGCTGTGTATAAATATATTAAATACCTACGTATACTTGATATATTTATCATATTATATTTTTCGGTGTTTTATAAGAGTGAAGATGGTTTTAAAATAAATAAAAAAATTGAACTAGGTTACCACGAGGGCTTGAGTCCCAAGTAGGGATAAAACTGAGTACATTACAGTTTAGAATGTTTGAGTGGCGGCTAATTTTTTAAAATTATAAGTATAGATGTGATATGAATATTTTGTAGGAATACGTGGTAGAATCAGTAGATTTATAATAGTCTTTTATTATACAGGATGATTCACAGCAGGTTCATCATCATTTTTCCTTTATAAAGAATTATTTATTCAAATTCGATTTTTTGAACTTTTAAACATACTTAATACCACATTTTTAAATTCTGATACTTATTGTTCTAATTTCATTAATAAGTGACTTGTAGCAATACAAGTTTCTGCTTTTCAAATGAGAATATCAAATTTATTATTTATTATATATGATTTTTTTTTTTTTATTAAATATAAATACTGATAGATTAATGTAAGATACTAAAATTTTAAAATTACCAAAAAAATCATATTTTTCAAACCAATTACCATGAGACTTATTATACTTAGTACACAAAGTTAAATAATTAAAAAAAAAATATTGGGTCGAATTTTTATTTTCATACGACAACATTTTAAGAAATATTATCTTTTAAACAATTCACACTGGAAAAGAGGAGTTATCATTTGAAAAAATAGTAGTTTGTATCTCTACGATGCACTCTTTGAGTGGTAATAAAAAGATTTCAAGAATTTAAAAATATGGTTTTCATGCATGTACAATGTACATTGAACAATTCCAAAAATCAGATTAAAAATAGCTGCATCATCAAAATAGAAGAAAGAGGCGGGCATGCTTAGTGCATCGTCCCGTACACAATTTTAAGTCCAAAATCTGATTTTTGTACTTGACATAAGTCGTGTAAACGTGGACGATACATAGGTCAACAGATATGCAAATATTATAGGTCGGATTAGGTCAGGTTGACAACAACATATGGCAGGGGGCATACTGTATAATATGGCATTATGTGATGTGCGTGTTGTCTAGGTTACCGCAGAATACTTATTATGACGTGGCCCCGTCACCCATTTAGTACCGCCGAACCGACGGTGTCTTTTTTTTTCCACCCGACCCAGGGTCTTCAACGCGAACATGTCGGACCGCGCCCGGCACAGGTCCGGGGCGACCGCCCATCGAGGTCATTCGAATGCTGCGTTGAGCAGGTCATCTTCGGATTTTCGTCGGGACTTACACCGGTGGTCGCGTATCAAGCCCCGGTAGGGCGCGCACGACTCTAGATCGCACTCGCCGAAGCCGTTTTTCTTTTCGTACGCATAGTCCAGTGCGTCTCGCGACGATTTGGTCGGATTCAGCAGCGTCACCGTGTCCCCGTCGATCATGTCGGCGTCGAACAGCTCGTCGCCGAGTTCGGCATACGCCACCGAACCGAATCTGAAACAAAATGTACCGATTTAACACCAAAACATCACGAGTCTATGACTAAATTACTTATGCACGAGTTCTTTCGGAATAAAATCAAAAATCCGTAGACACTGATAATATTTGTACACAGAACCGTTAATAAATAATATCATTAATTAAGTTAAACATATTATGTAGGTATAATATTTTTATTTGAAATATTGCGCACGAAGGAAGCCAAATAATTCAAATAGAAGGAAATAAGAGCTTAGATGTAACTATAGAATATAGACTAATACTGTGGAGGTGCAAATAATTTTAAGCAATTCCCTACCCTTCACACAATATTATTTTTAACAATAGTTTAAAATGTATATTTATATACTTATGTGCTATATTTAAAAACGCACAAAACAGTTACATGTTAATGAAATACAATTTTTAAGAATTATTTTAACATGGTTTTTTTTTGTACTGAAAATTATGTTTATTTTGATTACTTTTGGCTTAGAACAACGTGATCTGCTACTCTCTCTGGATTACCTAAATCAATAATGCCATTAAAATTATTTTTATTAATTTAAAGAATTTTTTATTGGTCTAAATTTAAAAAAGAAATAGAATAGATTTAAACTGGAAAACCGTCAATTTTATTATTCATTAATTTATTTTTCAATATTTTTATTTTTTTTGTTTTTTAATTATAAAAATTTGTCAACAACACAATTTAACAGTTTACTTTTGTCATAACGAATTATAAACAATAAAACAATGTAACGTCCTCGCATTCATTGGCTAACCTACATCCTGCTAATTAAAGAAAATATAGGGCTCACGTAACTCGTAGCTATATACATCAACATTATGTGTAGTAAATAATATATATAGTATTGTACACGGTGGAGAGGAACAAAGTGGGCTGCGACCCCTTAAAACTATCTATTTTCTCTCTTATTCCACTTAAAATGCAATAAATCATCAGTCGTTACAACATAATAAAAATATATTGGTTGACACATGGTAGGTATAAATGATAAGCATATGATATTGGTAGTATTTATCAATTCAGCTTCCTGTCATTTTAAATTATTATTTTCATCATTATTTTATAATGATAATTAGTATTTTGTATTATAATAATAAATTATGATTTTAATGCAATTATTAGTTTCTATTTTTTTGATAAAATAATATGATACTACTTTGTGTAACACTTTAATGATTAAATTTAATAGTTAATATATATGTAAATAATTAATAATTTTTATAAATTATGAAATTAGTGTTAACTAAGTATCATTAAATATAATTACTATATTTTTAATATAATTTTTATGTCTACTTTAAAGAGATATAAGTTGTTTTTCCTTACTTTTTGATTTACAAAAGTTTTAACGATGTGATCAATGTTCAATTCGTTGGTACAAGTTCTTTCAATGTTTAAATTTCTTATATTTATAAAACGTTCTTTAGTAATTGAGTTCTGTTATTAATTTTTTATTAAATTTAGTTTAGAAAAAGAGCGTTTTGTTGATGCAACAGTAACAGGAAGAGACGAAAATATTATGCAGGTAGTAAGTGTTTCACTAAAAAGTGATGGAATTTCATTTTCAATTATATATAAAGACAATTCTTTTATTGTTTTTTCATTTCAATTTTTCTTAGAAAATCTTTTAATGATAAAACTTGCCTAGTTAAATTAGACGAAACGCATTAGTATTATAAAATTAAACGAATCATAAAATGATTTAATTTATTTTCTTCACTATACTTAATTAAATTTATTGGTTGTAGAAAGACAACATTTCTCGAAACTGTTTCAAATTCTTTGAAATGCTCTTGTAATTGGAATATAGTAATATTAGTAAGGGACAAAAAAATAGTAATGGGAAATTTTTTGTCAATTGCGTCTAATCGTTTATCATTATCAATATTATCCTCATATTATTTCTTGTGTTTATTTTATTTTGTTATTGATATTCCCATAGACCTTATACTCATTAGTATAAGGTTTATGGATATTCCCCATCTAGAACTTAATTCTGTTTTTAAAACAACTAGCTCTTCATAAGTATTCCTCATTTTTTGAATTGTATCAATACATACTTATTCTAATATTCTACATGTAAATTAGTTTGTGGACACTGTAGAATTTTTTGACAGCAGGTAATGGTTTTAAAAATGTCTCTTATATAGTCATTAAAATTACAAATTCAAATGATTTATTTAGATTTTAAAACAAAACTACGTTTATTTTATAATATACCAACTGACGAAAATGTAATAAATGTTCCAAGAATTAAGACATCAATAATTAATAATTTAGTATCTAATTTGTGTTCCATACCGGTTATTATTTTATACGGAAAAGACTTGAATTCGTGTATAGAAATGTATAATTTCTTTTCCGTTAATTAATACAATTTATAATAGGTTACAATTTACGCATATTATTAGGTATTATATTCGTAGGTGTATAAATTATTTTTTAAAACCTTGTATAAATATTTCAATACGTATCGCACTATAATAATATTTTAGATAAAGACTTAATTTTTTTTTTTCTAATACATTTTTGTAAAAATTGCACATCATCTACTTTGAACACCACAAGCCGCAATTAAATAATAATAGTTTTTTATCATCACTGTCATTTAAACCGTGGTAATACGTATAGTATATCTGTTGGTAAATAGAAACGCTTTTTGCAATGCAAACCAAATTAATTAATTATTATGTTGTTTGTTTAGGCAGTGTAGATAATGGATAACTTTTCCTTTTACAAATTCAGATTGAAACTACGAGTTTTTACGTAATGACACGGAGTTTATATTTTGTTTTAAAATATTTTTTGTCATCTTTTGAAGAGAACAATGTTCTTGTGCATGGATATAGCAGAAGTAATCGTAAACGGTAAACATCGTTTATGCGTACAGCATCTTTATGTGGAAGATATAGAGTTATTTCATAAATCGAGTTTATTTTGGAGACGTAAGTTTTTGATTATCTCAGAAATTGTTTAAAGTATATCAAAGGGAGTGAATGCCCACAATGTTGAAATTGTGTAAAAACGCCACCAAGCAAGACTTTTTTTTTTAATTTCTCATTTGCAGAACATATACTAACAATTGCCAAGTCCATATTGTAAGCTCAAGAGTTGATTTGAATAATTATATTAACATTTAAAATTAAGAAACCAAATAAAGTTATACGTAGTTTCACTATTATATCATACCTACATAACTTTATCATATACTCGTATTTGCAATTCAGCTGATGGGTGGGAAAGGGTTCTGATATATTATATTTAATAGGTAATTTAGCTGTAAAATGTACATCTATACTTTATTCTGACATATTTTCTAAATAAGTATAGCCCATATATTTACATCAAACTATTGTTCCCACACTATGAGCTTAATTAATTTTCATATAGATTTAGAGCCCATAATGTTGGTGTTACAAGTAAAATTGTTATATTTGAGGCTTAAAAACAGTATTTATAATAATTCATCTGATGCATTTGATGTCGTCAATTTAATAGTTACATTTTAAAATTAGTGTTCAAGAAGAAATTAATAAAATAAAACTGATTAAAAATATTTATGAAAATTAAATACTTGGTAAGAAAGCAGTATAACAAACAAATTATTACTAAACATTAAAAAGTATAAATTTAAATTTTACATTTAATAAACTAATCTGTATACCAATTCCAAGTAATTCTTTTCTATAATAATAAATGGCGAAAAACATACCAAATATTGTTGTATACAATACTTTAAATTAAATGTTGTGTTTTGCATTAATTTTTATAAGTCTTAGCCTTTGTGTTGAGATTGTAGTTCTATTGATAAAATTGATATTTTGTTTTCTTCGTGATAAAAACATGAACATTTATATACTGTCGATAATGTCAGTTAACAAAATTTCAAAAAAAAAAAAAAAAAAAATTAAGGATCATTTAATTGATATTTCTGCTTTGATTAACTTGATATAATAAAATAAGTAAATCAGAGAGCAAATTATTCAATTTATAGAAATATACCATCTTTTATTGATGTTTTGAAGTATATAAATAGAAATTAATTAACATAAATAAATGAAAGTATGAAAATTATTCATCCATGATTAATTTAAAATATATTTTTGGTACTGAATAATATTTCATATATTTTTGTTTAAAAATTAATTAATAAAATTAACTTTTTAGGAAGGTATTAGAAAAGCCAGTAATTAAATTATCACTCCAAACAAAACTATTAACGTTTCATGTTGAAAATGAATCAACAAATATCCCGATTAGTTAAAATCTAAACATAATATAATAACGTAAGAACACATCATTTATTAAGTCTTTAAAAAATAAAATAAATAAGAAGCCGTTTTTTAAGACTTAATGCGTTCAAAATACATAACAAAATAAAAATGTAACTCATTGTTATTTTTTTCTCCATTAACTATGCTAAAGAATTTACTAAAATTCTATAGTCAACCATTTAACATAAAAAATGTATTTTAGAAATTAATAGATCCTGTCTAATAACACTCATCACTTTCTTTTAAAATTTAAAGCTGATCTCGAAATGAAATGTTAATATATTGTTTTATGATAAGACTCATATGGTCATATACTCATAGTATTTAAATTAGGATTTTTCAAACAACTTCTCCGTTCAATCTCTTCAAAACATAGGTTTATGTGCTGGTTATGCCGGTATTCCATACTAAGTGTGTAGCTATCTACTCTCTTACATAACGAGTTTAAAATTAAAAATGTCATAGAATTAGTTAAAATCCACTAAACTTGTTTCCATACAAAATTTATCTCAAATTAAAATCCCTTCATTGAAAAGTTGACTATTACAGTTATATACACGACAAAGTTTTTCAAGGGCTAAAACTCTTTTAATATTGTAATTTATTATTTTGAGCCTATGTGAATTAAAATTCAGTAATATTTAAGGTAAATTAATAAATACATTTCTTACATTTTTTTATGGTATAATATTGAATATTAGTTCCTAATT